TGTTTGCATCATTTACTTCTGTCCCACTTTTCAGCTTCAACTTGAACTTGCGTTTGAGCAATTGGTAGTCTGTGCCACAGTCAGCCTCTGGCCTTATTCTGACTGATGATATTAAGCTTTTCCATTATTTCATCCACTGATGTAGTCAGTTTCATTCTGTGTGTTCCATCTAGTGAGGTCCATGTGTATGCTGTTATTAAGTGCCATCAAGTCAGTTCCGACTCATAGCTACCCTGTCTAGGGTTTCCAAGGAGGAGCTGCTGGGTTTGAACTGCCGACCTTGTGGTTCGCAGTCCAGTGCTGATCCACAATGCCACACCAGAATCCATAAAAAAGTTATCTGCAATGAATCTGTTAACAGATTTTTGCAGAATTCTATCATGCAATCTCTGGTGTTATTTCAGTAACCAAGGCCACATTTTCCAATTACTGATTGTTTCCAAGTTTTGCACTCCATGCTTTAAGGTATTAAATTACACTTTCTTAGAGATTTTAGGGGATGTGGATTAATGCGCCAAACTGCAAAGCTGTTTGAACTGCAAGGTCAGCGGTTCAAGCTCACCAGTCACTCCTCGGAAATCCTGTATATGGTCGCTATGGGTTGGAACCGACTTGATGGCACTAAACGACAACAAGAAGATACTTTAGGGGCCCCAGTGGCACTGTAGGAAGAGCACTGGATTGCCATCTGTAAGGTGGGCAGTTTAAATCCACCATCCATCTGCTCCATAAGAGAAAATGAGGCTCTCTGCTCCTGTAAAGACTTACAGCTTCCGAAAGCCTTTCCAGTCTCACTATGAATCAGAATCAACTTGATGGCAGTGGGGGTTTGGTTTTTTAAAGCTTTTGTAATAAACCAGACCAGCCGTGTCAAATTTCAGCCCATAATTAAAGGAGGTTTAGAGGAAGAGAGTGATGAGAGGGATGATTTTATAGATTCCAAACACTTAACGTTCCTAAATTAAAAACTGTGTATTAATCTAGAACTATATATGTTGTTGTTGTTGTTGAGTGCTGTCAAGTCGATTCCAACCCATAGTGACCCTGTATAGGGTTTCTGAGGAGCACCTAGTGAGCTTGAACCACTGACCTTGCAGTTCAAATGGTTTTGCAGTCTGGCGCATTAACCCACAGCGCCACACCAGGACTCCAGGGAATCCAAGTAATTTTCTTATGCCTTTAGGAAATTGTCATATGCAATTTTGGTTTTATCACACTACTAAAATGAATTTTAAATGCCCCTGAAATCCTGCTACTGTCTAGGTTTTACAGGAGTTCAATTACTACAAGTAAGAAGTGTCCAGGGAAGGGAGATTGAGACCAGGAGGTAGTTATCAGGGTGGCAGAGTGGCATCAGGGGCTCCTGTTCAAGGCTAAAAATCGGGTTACATGGAGCTATCTCCTGCAAAGGAGCAGATCGCTTATTACCATGACATGGATATACATAGTGCCCTGCATTAGAATACTAATAGGATCCTCTTACCTGTCACTCTATGGAAGGAGCTTGTATCTAGTTCACATGGTGATCTTGTCTTAATAACTTGAAAGTCTCCAGGAAATGTAAGCCATAATGGTATGTTTAAGTATTGATCAGACATTGGAGTATACTATGTGTCTTGTTGCATCTTCAGCCTTGCTTCTTTGACCTGAGCTACTATCTATTATGCATCTTCCTCTTTTGAACTCACAAGGACCAGTGCGTAACAGCATGTAAGTCAATGATAAATTGTGACTACATCATAATATGTTCTATATAATGCTGAGTTGGAGTCCTGGTGTGGTGCTATAGGATAAGCACTGGACTGCTAGCTGCAAGGTCAGCAGTTCAAACCCACCAGCCACTTCTCGGAAACCCGTACAGGATCACTATGAGGTGGAACCAACTGGACTGCACAGAGCAACAACAACAATATGATACTGAACAACACAGATTCTAAATAGAAATGAACCAAGGCCAAGAAGATCATGTTGAAGGCAGGTTTACCTTATGAGGCAAAGGTATTTGAGCATGAATCTTTTATTTGACAGGCATGTTAGCATTTAAAAAAAACTGAAATGCATTTCTGAGGATATAAATTTCAAGTGAATTTATAAATGACTCTCAACTACCAGTTCTTTCTAGGTAGTCTACCAGCTTGAAAGTGTTTGCATAGTTTATGTTGATTATTTTTCATATTCGAAAGTGACACTTTTGCTGTTTGTGGCAGAAAAGACAGACATTGATGTGCACCAGTAATCTCTTCCAATTCTATGCAGTTTGAGTTAGACTGAAGATCTGCCTCATCATTCTGGGGGAAATTTAGAAACCTTTTTACTAGCGGTTCAGAAAGAGCCACTTACTTCAGAAAGTGTCCTGTTTCACAATCATTGGCTGATTATCATAAACATGTGGTAATACCATTTCCTTTTGGGAATACCAAAATTATGGTTTTGTTTTCAAATTTGGCCCTATTTAAAATTGGCCTATTTTTTAAGTAAGCAGCTGTGTAAGTATCTGTTATTTGTCATTGGCTTATGACATCTCATTTAGGTCTGCTAACTTCACCTGTTTTGCAAGTGGCAATTGAGATCACGTTTTATTATTTTATGTTAAATATGACATGCTATTGTTGGTAAGTGCTGTTGAGTCTGTTCTGACTCAGGAGTGACCCTGTATAGCGTTTCCGAAGAGTGGCTGGTGAATTTGAACTGCTGACCTTGAGGTTCAAACTGACCTTTTAATCTAGTGCTTATCCTATAAAACCACACCAGGACTCTCATATTGCTGTTGTTAAGTGCTGTCAAGTCAGTTCCAAACCACAGTGACTCTATATAGGGTTTCCAAGGATGACACTTAAAAAAAAGAGCTATCAAAGACGAATCTAATGACTCAGCTAAGCATAGAGTTAGAAACCATTATTGCCCCATTGGCCTTTACTTGCTCTGGAGTTCACAAACACACTGACACTGTAAACTATCTGCTGGTCTCCTCAGACACTGTTGTCGTGTTGTGTGCCATCATCAAGCTGTTTCTAACTCATAGCGACCTTGTATAGGGTATCCAAGGCTTTAAATATTGGAGAGAACAGAAAACCTCGTGTTTTTCCTGCAGAACAACTGGTGAATTCAAATCCCTGACTTCGTAGTTCTCGGTCCTGTGCTTATCCTACGGAGCTCACTAATTTGGTCTTCATTGCTTTGTATCTACTCCTTTGCCCTTTCAATGTATTGTCAGTTTCTGAGATCTTAGTATTAGTCTTTTGGTCTTCTAATTGCAGGTTTTGTATTATTTCAAAATTTGCAATTTATTTTGTCTGTTCTTGTAGTGTTTTCCTGAATTCTTCTAAAGTTTTTTTTGTGTTCTCCTTGCTTTTCTTGATCTTTTTATCAGTCCTTTGAAGGTACCTATTTATCATTCATTTGAATTCTTTTTCAGTTAGTTCTATACCTTTTCTTCCTCAGAAAGGTCTTCTGGCTCTGCATCTTGGTTATTTGAGACGTTCTCACTGTGTGTGTGTGTGTGTGTGTGTGTGTGTGTGTGTGTGTGTCAGCTAAAATTGTCTGTTGTCTCCGGAGCATTGTGAAGTGGTTTTATTTGTAAAAACAAGCAGTGCAATTGTTGGATCCAGAAAAGAGAAATCTCTGGGGGGGCTCCTGTAATTCAAGAACTTATAAGGTGGTTGTGAAAGAGAAGTGGCAGCAGAGTTCTTGACCCTAATTGAAGTTCCTGTTGACCTTGGAGCTCAATGTTCAGGGCACTCAGTCCAGAAGTAGTTCATGGGGGCCTTTGATGGAGCTGGTTTCCAGGCACTCAATCTGAAAATAGTTCATGAGGGCCTTTGATGGAAGCTGGAGGCAGGTTGAAGTACTGGTCTGTTGGCTCTGTAGGTTTTTCAGGCCTGTAGCCAAGCCCACGTGAATCCAGGCACCAAAGCAGCACAACAAAGCAGTACAGCCAGCCCTGAGCTCACACTGGCATGACAGCATGCAACTCTAAACTCCCAGAGAGCAGGGTCTGCACTGCGGGTGGATGAGGCTGGGAACTGCCCACACATCTGGTCACCATGGGAGCGTGGGGGAAAAGAAGAACTTGAAACTTTTCCAACACTCGTGCAAATGCCAAGCCTCCCTCCACTGCCACAGTGGCTCCCAAGATGGTGGGAGCCATTCACCAGTCAGTCTCCCTCTCACTGTCCCTACTTGGTCTCTCTTCCCAGCAAGTACTCCATCCCCCTCTCTAACCTTTTTACTTCTGAAGTTCAGGGTGACAGAATTTTCATCTGTGCCTGTGTTATTTTGTCTCCTGTATCTTACTTAGTATTATGGGGTCCATACGGGGCATCTACCTAGTCCACCGTCTTTCTGGAAGTCAACTCTTTGCTCACTTCTTAACTAAGTTGTTTATCTTTTTCTTACTCATTTGTGTCCATTCTTAATGTATTCTGGATGCTAATCCTTTGCCAGCTATCTGTTGTAAATATCTTTTCCCATTCTGTGGTTTGTCTTACCCCTTTGTTTAGTGTGTATTTTTTTATGCCAACATTTTAAGTTTTAATGTAGTAAAATTTATTAATATTTTCATTGTGGTTTATGTTTTTGTGTCTCATTTTAAAAAAAGAAAACAACGCCACCTCCCTTGAAGTCATAAAGATGTTTTTAATGTTTTCTCCTAAAGTTTTTTTTTTTTTCACATTCCAGCTAGCTTCCCTTGCATTTTCTATGTTGAAATATTCTAGATTTGATCTTTCTTTCTTTTGTGTTCTTTCATATGTTTCAGTGCCCAGATATTTCAAACCCTCTTCTGAAACTTACAAAATATAATGTACAAAGTTAAAAAGTTATAATTTTTAAAATAATTGATGATCTCTACTGCTGACTTTTTAAAACAATAAATGCAAGTGGTACAGTTTTAAAGGTTGTATTCCTTGCTGATGACTCATTAAAGCTACAAGATTTGATTATTTCTTTACTTCTCTGTTTTTCTCTAATCATGGAATTTGTGTATGCATTTATATTTTCAGTCCCATTAAGCTTGCTCTACAAGACAACTTGACGAGAATCTGGAAGGAACCAGATTAAAGAAGACTGAGTATTTGGCATCAGAAATGTAAAATAATCAGGTACAGTCACTCTTTGAGGGAACCTTCCCAACCAGTATAAACTGAACCTGTTAGGAGTGTACATTAAGGATAAATGAGAATATCTCTACAAGAACCAGGGCTTTGTCATAGTCCTGAGTTCATATACTGGCTCTGATCCAAATTGCCTGGCAACCACAGGTCAGATTATTGAAACAATCCATCAAATGAAGGCAATGATATACCAGTTTTATATAGACATTTATAAACATTAAATGAGTAATGTGAAAATATATACTGTGTAAAACACTAATGTATTTACACAGCATAATTTTTATTATAACTGTTATTATTGTTGCTCTTATTCTTTAAAATATATTGATCATACCAAAAATGTGGGATTTTTTGTGTATATGTAGGTATTTTTTTAAAGTACATATTGATATACTACTATTAATAGCTTGGGGGATGACATGGACTGGAATGTTGAGGTCTTGCACCTGCCTCACAACCCTTGCCATGTTCCACCCTTGTACTGGGAACAGAAGTGGCCTGAAGTTCACTGAAAGGCACTCACATCTCTGTTTGGATCCCTTTTCTTTCTGTTCTTTATTTGTCTTTTTCCCAACTCGATGACACCTAACAGTAACACCACCAACCACTCTCCTTACTTCTTACTTTTTATCCAGTAAACTATGGGTGGATATGAAAAAGCAAAAGAAAGAAATCCTCAGTATCAGCAGGCTCCAATTTGCAAAAAGCTGTATTGTTAAGGGTGCTTTCAACGAATACATTGTGTTCTACTATGAACCATGCGCTGTAGTGGTTGCAACGATGAACAAATTCTGGTCCCCTTTATTAAAGAGCTTGCAAATTAGTAAAGAGGACAGACCATATAGGAACCACTGCTGCAGAGTCAGAATATGGAAAGTGCCATAAGTGAAGTAAGTAAAAAAGTAAAAAAGAAGTGCCATGGAAGTAAAGAAAAGGAGTGGCCCAGGTCCCATGTGTAATCAGGAGCTGCATTGACCTGGAGCTCAGTAACAGTCCTGCTGAGTTGTAGAGACTAAGTAGGATTTCAACAAATCTGCTAAAACAGAACAGAGAATGAATGAGCGGTTATATATTCTCTAAATATGGTAAGACACCTTTCCCGATTAGCAAGCAGATCAAGTTGTATACATTTACAAGTGTTCCTTTAAAAAACAATTATTTGCTGGATTACCACATTTTAAGGGCTGTAATGATTCTGTATGTATCATCCTTATATTCTGAGACCTTTTTGTTGTTGTTAGGTGTCCTTGTGCTGGTTCCAACTCATATATAGTGACCCCTATACACAATAGAACAGAACAGAACATGCCCTGTCCTGTGCCATCCTCACAAGTGTTATATTTGAGCCTATTGTTGCCACTGTGTCAGTCCATCTTGTTGGCGATCTTCCTCTTTTTCGTTGACCCCTCCTCTTTACCAATAAATCTGCTGCACAGGATCTTTTTAAAGTGTTGAAGAGCAAAGATGTCAGCTTGTGGACTAAGGTGTGCCTGACCCAAGCCATGGCATTTTCAATAACCTTATATGCATGTGAAAGCTGGGCAGTGAATAAGGAAGAAGTAGTAGAATTGATGCATTTGAGTTATGGTGTTGGAGGAGAATATTGAAAGTGCCATGGGCTGCCAAAAGAACCAGTAGATCTGTGTTAGAAGAAGTGCAGCCAGAGTGCTCCTTGGAAGCCAGGATTGCCAGACTTTGTCTCTCATACTTTGGACATACTGTCAGGAGGGACAAGTCGCTGGAGAAGTTGGAGGGTCAGAGAAAAAGAGGAAGACCCCCAATGAGATGGGATTAGCAAAGTGGCAGCATTCGTGGGCTCAAGCATAGCAACGATTATGAGGTTAGCCCAGGACCAGGCAGTGTTTTGTTCTGTTGTGCATAGGATCACTGGGTCAGTACCAACTTGATAGCACCTAACAACAACAACTCCTCTTTACCAAGCATGTTGTTTTTCTCTAGCGACTGATCCCTCCTGACACATCCAAAGTACAGAGACCTTTTTACAGCTGAGGGAAAAGATATTTATCAATATCCTCCAGGACACTTGAAACATTGATAAATACAAAACATTGATGTTTGATAAGGAGCATTGTTATGACTCAACTTACTTTTGACTGTTGTTTTTGTCTAAGACTAACTCTTGTAAACAATGTCAAATAAAATGTTTTGATGTTAGTATTTAAAATATGGATTATGTTTTAATAAATAGGTCCCAACCTATTAAATTCGAAAAATTAACAAACTCAGTTTTCATAACCTTTCTAATTTGGGGAGAGAGAGTATTTTATTTATTTCATTTTAGTGATGAGATACCTAACTGTGTAACATTCGAGTCCAAACATACTGATTATCTATATGGTACAAAGTAGTGATTGCGAAGCTCATTATCAAGGCAAGAAAAGTCAGTGCTTTTGCTATATAGTGATGGTTATTTCAGATTATTTTTTGTTATAACCCATGATAATAAAATTATATTCATTCATTTTTTTCATTCATTCCTTTTTTTTTTCCCCTTTCCTTTTCCAGCTTAGCAAATCATACACTCTTGAGTGGAGCTGAGAATTGATCAATCTACACTTCACAGTGATTTGGAACTTTGCAGTCCAAGGGAAAAGTTGGCCAAGGTCTAAAATGTATTTTTCATGTTTTATAGGAAGCCAGCTCTACTCATTTCCTTTTAGATATAATAACTTATAATTATCCTAGGGTGACTTTTCCAGACCTCAGCAGGAGCATTCCCATAATTGGGTATAGGATAGCGTCAGATCAATTTGAATACCTTTTGTAGCTGTAAACTCCCATGCCTACAGGTTGCTTCCTTTATTTTTGCTTCTCCATATTTGAGCTTAGCTTATTCTCTCTGTAATTAAAAGTAAAGTGATTTTGACATTCCTAGTCTCATCTGACACATGGGATCTGATTTTACCACATCTTTTTTTCTTCAGGGACTGCACAGGACTAAGTCCATATGGAAGAAGAACTTCCTCTTTTCTGTGGAGAAAGTGGCAAGGTTAGAAACAATGAAGGCGTGTGTTTTCTGGTGCATGAGACGTCATCAAACATCTAGTGGTCACCTGAAAGGAAGATGAATGACACATTGTCTATCTTTGAGGGACCCACGGTCTAGGGACTTGGATGCCAACAGATAATTATTGTGGCTCTCTAGAATATTAAAGGTCCCCCACAGGGAGCCATTGGTATTATCTGAGGGATCAAAAGAATTTCCAAAGAAGATGATATTTGAGCTTGTTGGAAACCAGCTTGTTTCATAGGTAATACTTTTCTGCCAAAGAGTCTGAGTTGAACAATATTTATAAGAAACAGTAGGTTACAAAAAAGACTCTCTTCTCAAAGATTAAAAAATATTTAAAATATGTTTCCTATGTTCTCAATTCATCATAAATGTTCTTTGTAAATCTAATAAAATCAAGACAGAACAGAAACAATCATGCATGCAGAAAGCTGTGAAACTTTAACATCAATCAGACAAGACTTATACTAGGTGGCTATAATATTCAGATGTTATGGGGGGAAAACAAAGTATCTGCTCATCACCATTAATAGCTTGTTATTTGTTGCCACTGTTAACTTTCATTTTCTATTTTCTACTCATTTTAATAAGGACAAAATGTAATAAAAAATGTCAGCAATGATACAAAGCCAATATTGGCATTCAAAGATGGTAAAGTTTCTGAAAGTAAACTGCTATAAAGTTTGTTGGCCTGAGATGTTCTCTTGTCAGCTCATCTGTTGTTGTTGGAGTACCGTGGAATTGGTTCAGACTCATAGTGACCCTGCACAAGGTTTCCGAGGCTATACATCTTTAGGGGAGCAGAAAGCCTCATCTTTCTCCTGCGGAACAAGCTGGTAGTTTCAAACTGCCAACCTTGAGGTTAGCAGCCTGATTTGTAACCACTGTGCTACCAGAGCTCTTTGTCAGCTCATCTAGAAAAGTCTAAAAGTAGTTTATAAAAGTAATGTATATAACTTGAGATTCTTAGAAATTTTTCTTTTTTAATTCCTCTTGTTACCCCAAACAGATTTTGTATCATGAAAGAAAGGATTCATAGAATTAGTAATGAAGTTACTTTATTACATGCAAGGTGTTATATTGGAGAAGTATTGATTTTTTTTTTTAAAAGAAAATATATCTTTTTAGGAGTCCCAACATGCATATTTGATTGTTTGGTGGTGGTGTGCTGTGGAGTCAGTTCTAACTCATAGTGACTCTGTATAGGGTTTTCGAGGCTATAAATCTCTACAAGAACAAAAAATCTCTTCATTCTCCTGTGGAATGGCTGGTAGCTTCAAACTACTGACCTTGAGGTTAGCAGCCCAACTTGTAACCACTATACCACCAGAGCTCCTTTGATTATGCATACACATATTATATTTTAAATTGAATTGTGAAAGTTGTTTAGAATTACGTGAAGTGTCATCATCTATAAGAGTCTTCGTATAAGGATTAAGTCAAAAAGAATTTCTATGAAATCATAGAAACTGTGATTAAACAAAAATATCAAATGTGAAGTTATTGTTTCTTAACATACCCCCCAACTAGGTCCATACATTCTTGAAAGTAGTGTCTCCATCTCTGTAAGTAACCCCCAAAGAATTCTGCACTTTTTGATTTATACCACTTCAAAATAGCAATTTAAACATCATTGAGGGACTCAGATTTTGTTCCTTTTAAATATTCTTTGAATTGGGGGAAACAAAAAGAAATCTGAAAGGATAAGATCAGGGATGTAGGGTGGATCAGGTAAGGTTTCCCAAAGAAATTCTTGTAGGAACTTGCTACCTGTGAAGAATGAGCAGGTGCATTGTTATGATGGAAAGAAAATTATGTGGCACAATGTTCTTGGCCTTTTTTTCACTAAGGCAGTTTTCAACTTTTCTTAAATCTTCTTTCTAAAAAAAATTCCATAATTGTCTTGTGTCCTTCAAGAAAATCTATCAGATAACTCCTTTGGAATCTCTTCAAAAAGTTGCCATAACCTTCTTTCTTATCTGACCTCCCTGTCTGAAGTTAAACTGGCTCAGCAGATCCCCTCACCCAAGTTAACACCAGTCTCCCCTCTAGCCAGAGTCATGGTGTGGCATTATAGGATAAGCACTGGATGGGTACCCACAACGTTGTAAGTTCAAGTCTACCAGCCACTCCTCAGAAATCCTTTATAGGGTTATTGTGAGTCAGAATTGACTTGACAACACTTAACAACAATGAATTGAGCCAAGGTTTACAGGGCAGATTATCAGTTTTACATTCAACACATCATACTTTGTTTCATTGCAATGATTACAATCCCCTCCATGTGCCATCAGTTAACAGTATTTAACTCTATTCCTTTTTTCTTTTTGTACACATACAAAACAAAACAAAAAAAGTAGTTTAATTTAAATATTCAAAGGAAACGTTTTGCAAGCCAGCCTCCTGCCCACAGGCACACAGCCTTTCTCAGTCCATGGGCCCAGAGTCCTTAGCTGTTCTATCTTTCTATGTCATCACCTCAGCCATCATCTCTGCAGTCACCACTATTCTGATTAGGATCTCACACTCCACTTAGGCTCTTCCCTCTTGATGGTCCTAGGGTCCTTTGTTCCTTAAATGGAAGATGAACTACTCCCCAATTTTAGTTATACTTCTAATACATTTACTGTTGTGATAATCGCAATTGGTCCTGATAACAATTACTCACAATTGAGTCATAAAATCCTATCAGTATCCTTCCCCATCCCCTTTCACCAGATCCATCTGGAAAAGAGAAAAACTATTCAGTGGGGACTCTCCCTTACCCCCTCATCAAAGAATGTTTCTTTTAACATGAGAACCTTTTCTTGACTTTTTACAATAATGATCTCTTGCAGTATTTGTCCTTTTGTGACAAATTTCACTCAACGAAGTGTCATCCATGTTCATCCATGTTATGAGGTATATCACAGCTTCATCATTATTCTTCACTGTTATGTAGTATTCCGTTGTGTATATATACCAAAGTTTGTTTAGCCATTCTTCCATTGATGGACATTTAGGCTGTCTCCATCTTTCTGCTATTGTGAATGGTGCTGTGGTGAACATGGGTACATATATATCTATTTGTTTCTCAGCTCTTATTTCTTGTGGATATATACCAAGTAGAGGGAGTACTTTGTGGATATATACCAAGTAGAGGGAGTACTGGGTCATATGGTATTAATATTTCCAACTTTTTGAGGGCTCGCCGTGCCATTTTCCAGTTTCGCCAGCAGTGTAGGAGGATCCCAGTCTCTTTACTTTCAGTAGCATTTGTTGTTTTCTTTTTTTTTTAAATAACTTTGCTATTAATGCTGGGGTGAGATGATACTTCATTGTTTTTTTGTGGTTTTTTTTTGGTTTTATTGTGAATTATGTAATAGTTTACATGGGAGAACATTAGTTTTACATTCTTCCTATTGTATATAGTTTCATTGCCATGGTTACAGTCCCCTCCATGCATCATCAACTAGCCAAAGGGTATACCCTACAAGCCTGCCCCCAAGTCATCAGCACACAACCCCTCTCCCTCTCTGTGTCTAAAGTCCCCAGCTGCTCCATCTCTCCACGTCATCGTCTCTGCCTCCATTTCAGGCATCACTCATTGGTGTTTTGATTTACATCTCTTGAATGGAGTCCTGGAGTCCTGGTGTAGTGCTGTGGGCTAATGCGCTGAACTGCAAAGTCTGTTTGAACTGCAAGGTCAGCAGTTCAAGCTCACCAGCCACTCCTTGGAAATCCTATATAGAGTCGCTATGGGTCGGACCCAACTCGACAGCACTTAACAACAATAACAATGGAGTCCTGGTGTGGTGCTGTGAGTTAATGCACTGGACTTGAAAGTCAGTTTGAACTGCCAATGGTTCAAGCCCATCAGTGGCTCCTCAATAGCCCTATATAGGGTTGCTATGGGTCGGAACTGACTCAACGGCACTTAATAACAATAGTGATAGAGCCCTGGTATGGCACTGCAGGATAATGCACTGGACTGCAAGGTCAGTTTGAACTGTAAGGTCAGTGGTTCAAGCCTACCAGTCACTCGTTGGAAACCCCAGACAGGGTCATTCTGATTCCAGCCAACTCGATGGCACTTAACAGCAATGACTAGTGATCATAAGCATTTCTTCTTATGTTTGTTGACTGCCTAAATGCCTTTGGTGAAATGTTTTTGTCCTTTGCCCATTTTTAAATTGGATTATTTGTCTTTTTCTTGTTGAGGTGTTGAAGGTTTCTATAAATTTTAGAAATTAGTCCCATGTCTGATATGTTATTGACAAAATTTTTTTCCTAGTCTGTGGCTTCTATTTTGACTGTCTTGGTGAAGTCTTTTGATGCACACAGCTGTCTCATTTTTAGAAGGTACCAGTCACCTGTTTTATCTTTTGCTGTTTTTGTGTTGTCAGTTATGTTTGATAGGGTACTTATGCCAAGTAGAAGAGCAATTGTCCCTCCCTGGTCTTTCACTGATGCTCTTTATACAGTTCTAGATTTTCCATTTAGGTCTTTAATCCATATTGAGTTCATTTTTTTGCATATGGTGTGAAGTATGGGTCTTGATTCATTCTTCTGCAAGTGGATTTCCAGTTTTGCCAGCACTAGTTGAAGAAACTATCTCTTCCCATTTAAAGTGTTTTGGCCCTTTGTCAGTGATCAGCTGACCATGTGGATTATTTATGGGTTCTCAGTTCTGTTCCATTGGTCGGTGTGTCTTCTGTTGTACCAGTACCAGGCTGTTTTGACCACTGTGACTGTGTAGTAGGTTTTGAGATAGTAACATAATCTTAATAACATACTACCAGGATTTCTTCCCTTTATAGCATTTTTTCCCCAGTTGCCCACACCAGGCTTTGCCCAGCCAGTCCCTTCCTTTAGAGTTGGACCCAGAGTCAGCTGACTCCCTTTCCCACAGACATGCTGCTGCTTTTCAGAGTGGCTGTACTGACTGAGACACCTACAGGTGCTGTAAATCCCTTACACATCATCTCCTGAGGGTATTGGGCAGAGAGAGATGTGTTTTTTCCTCTGTGGAAAAGATACTGTATATCAGCAAAGTTTATAAACCACTGAATTTTGGAAATCAAGTCACCAGTTGCCTATGAAATGGTGCCCACAGATTTAAAGAGTGGCTTTTTGATGTGTAATCTCCGGCAGCCATGTGTTCACATTTCCGTTGTCTCTAGGCTGTTTTGTATCTTTTCCCCTTTAAATTGTGATTTTGTCCTAATTTAATATCTTTGAAATCTGACACTTACTAAATGTCCACTAGTATTCTCTTGGCATTTTTTTAAGGAAACATAGGAATTGGAATTCCAGGGCCAAAGAACAAAGTTCAGAACTGATGATTTGGAAACAAATGTGTAGGAGCTGGTTGAAATTTACAACCCAATTCTAGTCACCCATGAAACCACGTGGAAATCCAAAAATCTGCTTGGACAGGGAAAGTGAGGTGTAGATTATTATATTACTTATTTTTCTCATTTTGGAAGTTCAAACTTGCCAACTGCTCCTCAGAAACGCTATAGAGGGTTACTATGAGTTGGAACCAACTTGACAGCACTTAACAACAACAAATATATGTAAAACGTTTCAAAAAATTACAATTTATAAATTAAAAGTGTTGTAATGAAATACCCCAAGTGAGTAACTTTGAAAGAACAGGAATTTATTTTCTCAGAGTTCTGGGGGCTAAAATCCAAGTCTTGATCATGTGGATTTCTTCTTTGTAGATTTGTAGATGGGTAGTCCCAGACATTCTGTGGTTCCCTTGCTTGTAGACTACTGTATGTCTTACCCCTGTGTGTGCATAAGGAGCCCTCCTGACAAAGTGGTTAAAGCACTCTACTGCTAAGCAAAAAAAAAAAAAAAAAAAGAGGTTGTCGATTTGAACCCATCTTCTCCTCAACGAAAAAAACTAAGGCAATCTGCTTTTGTAAGGGTGTCCCACCTTGGAAGCCCTATGGGGCAGTTCTGCTGTTTTCTAAAGGGTTGTTATGAGTCAGAATTGATGAGAGCAGTGAGTTTGGTTTTGGATATTTCTGTTTGTGTGTTGTGTGTATCTGAGTTGGTTCTGCTCTTTTTATAACTCAGACATGATTAGTTTTCAACTCATATGACCTCAGCTGACTCATTTCATTCCATTAGACTGCAGGATGGAAGGTGATTCTATTTCATTAGATTCTATTATATCCACAAGTATAGGGAATTCAGTGTTTTAGGGGGACACAATTCAATCCATAACACTCATGTGGAACTGCTAATACCATGATCCAGGCCTGAGTGGAGGTGGGGAAACCAACAGCTCAAACCAAAGGTCAGGTCAAATTTGCCCAGCAACGTAGACTGTTGTCCATTTTCTTGGTGTCATCTTCAATATTGCTCTTTTCCAAGAACTTGCTTTTGTTTTGGTCTTTGATTTCTCTTTTAATAGATTGCCTACAATTAAGACTTAATTGCAGATGAAATAGCGGTCTTCTTTCCCCCCAGCATTTATAACCACTCTTTCAGAACTACATTTTAGACAACCCCAACATTTAAAGCACTTGCTAGACATTTAGCTCCTCAAAGTTCTGACTTGGGAGGCTCCTGTGTCCTTGAGGATGAGATCTGATTCCACCCAGGGCATCTGGTACTAGTTACTATGAGAGCAAGACTGAAGTGTGATCCCTGTGCTGGAGACGGTACTGAGGCAATTCCTACCTCTGTGAGAGGCCTCTCAGACAGAGAGAGATGCAGCTTGTTCCTCCCGAAACGCTGTTAATAAACCCTCTTCTGCAAATTGAAAGGAGCAAAGAAAATGTACTCAATTATTTCTCAATAATTTTCTTTTTCCTTTTCAGCCAGTAAAGGCAACTCTGTCATCTTTGAAGATGTTAGATGTGGGAAAATGGCCAATTTTTTCCCTTTGCTCTGAGGAAGAACTGCAGTTAATTCGTCAGGCTTGTGTCTTTGGCAGTGCTGGCAATGAAGTTTTATACAGCACCATAAATGATGAGGTAATTTTAGAGGAAACACTTCAGCTACCCACATTTTTAGTAATGGATTTACTAACTGAAGAATTTGGGGAAAGTAAGTAATTAAGGTAAAAAGAGCATGGAACATAGATCAGTTGCTTATTTTATACCAAAGCTGTTTTGCTTAAGGAAAATAATGCCTGTTTTAATGTAGTTTATTGTTGTTGTGTTCTGTGGAGTTGGTTCCGACTCATAGCAACCCTGTACAAGGTTTCCGAGGCTGTAAATCTTTATGATAAAGGAGCAGAAAGCCTCATCTTTCTCCCACGGAACAGCTGGTAGTTTCGAACTGCTGACCTTGCGGTTTGCAGCCCGATTCGTAACCACTACACTACCAGAGCTCCTTAATGTAGTTTATAGCTCTGTCCAAAATAGAACTGGGTTAACCAACAGTGACTTTTCTCACAGATTTTTGTGCTTGGAACAAACTGCTGCGGCTGCCTTGGGATAGGTGATGTCCAGAGCACCATCAAACCTCGGAAATTGGACTCTCTAAGTGGCAAAAAAATAGCCTGCCTCAGCTATGGGAGCGGCCCACATATAGTCCTTGCTACCACAGGTAACTTAGGAGCATAGCAGAGGAGTTTAGTGCCTGGGTTGTTTGTTGAGAAGCAAGGCTAGGACCTCCCCTTAAACTGAGACGATGCCTTTTGATTGAGTCAGAGGTACTGGCTCTGCCTTTGGCACTCAACTCTGCTATGGACCAAGTGAAATAAGAACGTATCTGCATATCATAGTAAGATAATGTAGCAGATGGAATCTAGTGATAGTCAGTTTAGATGTGTGCATGACAAGCCATAAACACAACAAACCCTTCTGTTTATGCTTTGTAAGTAAATTACTTTTCATTAGAACTCTTAACTCACTCTGGACTTTGTCTGGTCTCCCTTTTGAACTCCGAGATTTCCTTTGAAATCTTAACATCCTGTGATTCTCATGCTAAGCAATGATGGTTAACTGTAGTTTTTATTAGTCATGTGCTGCCTAATTTTCATTTGGACAGCATCCTACCACATAATATATCCATGGTCCCAGCCCCCATAAAACCTATTACATTAAAAATTGGAGGTGCACACAATGATTCCTAATAACAAACAGACACTACTTTGTGACATTATTATTATTATGACGATATGTTTGTGTTAAAGATATTTCCATGTATCTTGAAGTATTATCTTAATTTTTTTATGCATAGAAAGGTACACTATACTATATGACAAATATTGGACTGGCTGATATTTGCTGTGAACTGTACCTAACTCTTCTGACTTACTTACAAATTTGATTTAAAGACAGACGTAGAAACAACTTGTTCATCATCCTGGGCTGCCTGTATATAATATGGTGTTTGCACAACATCTGAAACACAACGTCCTGTTTTACAGATTGTGTTGTGGACATGTTGTGCCATGACTGTGGTATAGTATGGATGCAGATGGAACTTTTTAAACATGAAGGTACTTATCTCAGGACAGAATTGGCAGGAGGGTCAACATACATTCCCAGGAGGCAAAAGGTCAGGATATAAACAGCTTGTTTCTGGGAAGAATGTGTCAGGATGGAAATAGTTTGTTCCTTGGAACACTGTGTTTAACTGAACTGGCAGGCACCATTCACCTAGAGGGTAAAACTTACTTTCCCCAACCAGATGGTCAACTTTTATATTTCAAAGAACTCTAAAGAAGACAGGAAATCAATCATTAATCCCTATTCTTGGTCTCTGTGCACAAAAATCACCAATTCTTCATCTCTCATACTTCGGACATAGTGTCAGGAGGGACCAGTCACTGGAGAAGGATATCATGTTTGGTAAGGTGAAGGGTCAGAGAAAAAGAGGAAGACCCCCAACGAGATGGATTGACCAAGTGGCAGCATCGATGGACTCAAGCGTGGCAACAGTAGTGAGGTTGGCCCAGGATCGGGCAGTGTTTCGTTCTGCTGTGTATAAGGTCTCTATGAGTCAGTGGCAACTCGATGGCACCTAACAACAAAACAATGCACAACAATGTCTACCTCAATAGAGACCTTAGAGTGCTTTGTATTTTTACTTAGCACTACCTAGTTCAAGCTGTATTATTCCTCAATAAAACACCGTTTCTTTCACCCCTAACAGAGGATGAGATTTTCTTCTTTGGCATTTCTGGTGCTAGCCCTGGAACTTCAAAGGTACATCATCTTAGACGATTCCAGGGCATCCGGATGTGGGCCTGGCATTTGCTGAGCCACTTTTGGCTCTCCACTTCCGTGATGTCTCAGGAATCGTTTAAGGTAAAAAACCTCTTGTGTCTGAGCTCCACTTCATTGTGCTGATAACGCTTTGGGTTTTGCTATGGATTTGTTTTTGTTCTTGCAAGTAAAGTTTGTTTTCCTGTAACTGTCATAAAAGGAGAGTGCCATGTGTAACGGAGATTTAGAGCTACTTCACCGACTTCTGTTCAGTACGGGAATAAGTATTATGGTCCTTATCAGTTCACTTCTTGCCTGTGTCTGGCATGAGCTCACTCAATACAATTTGGAAAATCAGTGACTACCTTGAAGGTTTTTTTTATCTCTCAAATTTAACTTGTCTGCACAGTAAATTAAAGAACCGAGGTTCATGGATTAAATAGTCCTAGTCCTGGAGCCCTGCTGTGGTGTAGGTTGCTATGAGTCAGAACTGACTTGATGGCACTAAACAGCAACATTCCTGGTATGGTGCTGTATGATAAGCACTGGACTGCTAACTGCAAGGTCAGCAGTTCAAACCTACCAGCCATTACTCAGAAATACTATACAGGGTTGCTATGAGTCAGAATCAACTAGATGGCACTTAACAACAACAATGACAAGTGGCATGCCTATATTGAAGCCTTTAAAAGACATCATGACAATAAAATTGCTTCCTTGCAGGACACTACCTCTAAATTGACTAAGCCGAATAAAGAATTACAGTGTCTAAAGCCAACTTCCACTGTTTCTGCTCCCCTGCTGGCTGCTCCTACTCTTCTGATAACACTTTATCTAAACGTTCCCTTAATCTAAAAAAAAAACAAAAACAAACCAACAGAGAATAAGTCCTTGCCTCACCTGCCCTTTAAAATTTACCCCAGCACTGATGCCTAATATTCCCCATGTATCATTTTTGCCATGAGGACACACTCAGAATTACATAGCATTGTGAAAATTTTTCCTAAATTTTGTGAGGATCATTACACATTTTCTGAAGCATTTTAAATCCTTGTTGAAACCTACCAGCCTGGCCTCCCCAAGGACATTTAGCCTTAAATATTGATAAAATGGACTCTGAAGTATTGAAAGACTTTCTGATCTTGAGTGAAAAATTGCAAGAAGCTGTACCAGAAGCCTTTAATTGGTTCACCTAAAATTCCATTAATTGGTTCACCTAAAATTCACTCTTGTCAGCAAAATAAAGATGAAAGTGTTTATTATGATCAGGTTTAGTTGATAATAGTAGTTTTTCAGATACTCTGGATTTATTTGACTACACTTGACTAGAGCTTTCAGTGGTATTTTCATCTCTTGTCTTAAACCTGAGAGCTCAGTCTCAGTAAAATGATATTGATTAGATTGGGAGACAGCTCTTATTGTATCTTGAAGCTGAAAAGCTTCTCAGGCTATTAAGTCATAGACGCTTCAGTTACACCAAGTAGACTCTTCCAATCAAAAGAAAGGAGTCCTGGTGTGACACTGTGGGATAAAGCACTGGACTGCAAGGTCAGTTTGAATCACAAGGTCAGCGATTCCTTGGAAGTCCTATACAGGCTCGCTATGAGTCAGAGCCTATTTGATGGCACTTAACAATAAAATAAAACACAAAATTCACAAGAAAAATACTAAATCTTCCAGTAACACAAAGACATAGATTTGTCACTATTGTAAAAAAACCTTGCTATTGGAAACATGAATGCTGTAAGTTTAAAAATGTTGTTGTTGTCAGGTGCCATCGAGTCGGAACCAACTCATAGCGACCCTATGCACAGCAGAACAAAACAATGTCCGATCCTGGGCCAACCTCACTACCACCGCCACACTTGATGCCATCAATGATGTCACCTGGCTGATTCATCTCATTGGGGGTCTTCCTCTTTTTCTCTGACCCTCCACCTTACCCAGCATGACATCCTTCTCCAGCGACTGTTCTCTCTGGACAATGTGTCCAAAGTATGAGAGAGGAAGCCTAGCCATCTTGGCCTCCAAGGAGCACTCTGGTTGCACTTCTTCCAAAACAGATCTATTGGTTCTTTTGGCAGTCCATGGCACTTTCAGTATTCTTCTCCAACACCACAACTCAAAGGCAGTTATTGTTTGTAAGTGCCTTTAGGTCTATACCAATTTATAGTGACCCTGTATAGGGTTTCTGAGGAGCAGCTGGTGGGTTTGAACTGCTGACCTTGTGGTTCATAGTATAAAGGAGACTAAGAGCCACCTTCAGGGACTCAGTAGATCTACAGCACCACACCAGAGGTCCTCAGCCCTCCTTAAAACAGTCCTACAATCTGATTTAGAAAGAAGGTGCTCCAGGGAGAAACTAGGAACTGTACCTCCGGTGGCTATTAATCCGCAAGGAGAAACTATTTATGAATGGCATGCTTGCCAATTTTCAGTTGACACAGGAGTCACTCTGTTGGCATTTAACCTTACCTGTTTATAAAAGCCCCTGCCCCAGAATACCAAAACCTCAAAAGAAATATGACCAACCAGAACTAAAAGTTGATTCATTCTCAGCCTGTTCCTTTAGCTTCTGGTCCTATTGAAGACTTACAACTTTTTTTTGCTTATTTGTGATTGCTGTTGTAAGGTGTTGCTGAGTCGACTCCAACCTACAGCTGTCCTCTGCACAACAGAGCTTTTGTTCTGCCCATTCCTGCGCCATTGTCAAAATTGTTTCACCTGACTCTGTTGCTGCTGCCAGTGTTCCAGTCTGTCTTCTTAGGGGTCTTCTTCTTTATTACTGACCCTCCACTTTACCAAGCATAATACTCTTCTCCAGGGATTGATCCTTCCTGATCGCATATCCAAAGTATGAGAGATGAAATCTCGCCATCCTGGCTTCTAAAGCACATTCTAGTTTTACTTCTACCGAGACAGATTGATTTGTTCTTGTGTAGTCCAGGGTACTTTCAATATTATTTTCCAAAGCCGTAATGCAACTGTATCCGTTCTTCTATGGTCTTCCTTAATAATTTTCCAACTTTCACAGGCATATGAGGCTACTGAAAACACCATGGCTTGGGTCAGTTGCATCATAGTCCTCAACTGATATTTTTGCTCTTTAACACTTCAAAGAGATCTTTTGCAGCAGATTTGCCTAATGCAGTGTGTTGCTTGACTTCTTGACTGCTTCAATCTTTTCTCCATTTATCATGATGTTATTTATTGGTCAAGTGTGAAGATCTTTTCCTTTACATTGAGGTGCAATCTATACTGAAGTCTCTGATCTTCATCAGTAAGTATTTTTAGTCTTCTTCACTTTCAGTAAGCAAGATTGTATTATCTGCATGTCTCAGGTTGTTAATGAGTCTTCCTCCAATCCTAATTTTATTCTTCAAATAATCCAGC